GTATTTACGCTTTGATTTGAACGAAAACAGTGCATCCGTGCAGCGCGGCTGACACAGAAGAGCGTACGCTGCTTGCGTTCAGCGCATATTCTCCAAAATGGCGCTACAGTAATGACACAGAGGATACGAATTGTTGAATAAAGTCGTTATTTTTGTTTTCTTTGTGTACAAAAGTATTCTCGTCGCTTCATAACATTACGGTTGAACCACTGATGGCAGATGGACTATTCTGACGATATCTTTCATACTTTTCTGGACCTTGACAGTGTAAGTTACTTGGCAGTCAATGGGACAGTTACAAACCTCCCGGATTTCATCCAAAATATCTTAAATTGTGTTCTGAAGATGAACAAAGCTTTTACGGTTTTAGAACGACATGGGGGTAAGTGATTAATGACAAAATTTTCATTTTGGGGTTGAGTATCCCTTTAAGTTGAAACGACTTTCACAATCAATTTGATTCAACTTAATTCATGTTTTACTGTTGCTTATTGTCACAGTAGGCTTGGGCTACATTTTCTATGAATTTCGCTTGAGGTATTCAGCCAATCACAACGCACTGGATAGCTGGCCAATCACAGCACACCTTGCTTTTCAGACCGATGAGCTTTGTAAAAATCGACGCGTTTCAGAAAGGCGGGGCATAGAGGAGAAACAATAATGTACAGTATGTGGAAAATAATGTGTTTTTTGAACCTTAAACCGCATAAACACATTTCATTACACCAAATACACAAAATAATGTTATTTTTAGCAGCATCATATGACCCCTTTAAAAAGGTTGCATGGATGTTAAATGTTGTTCATGGAACCATTAATGCCAATTAAGTTAAGACTCTAAACAGGTAATACACATTCTCTAGTCTCCTACCTACTGTACTATGTACTATACTAGCACACATAAAGTATGTTATTCTTCTGTCTAGAACATACTTTTCTGTGCTATTAACACACTGAACAGTTGTTTATCTTAGAAAAGGCTCTTGATGTTTCATTAAATCTCAAAGATTCTTCAGATCACTGTTTAGGTTTCTGAGTTCTTTAAAGCATGAGAACATAGATGATTTTTAAAAAGTTTCAAATGGAACTTAAACAGGATTTTGGTTCAAACTGTAACTATTTTAGGAATGTAGAACACAAATACAGGTACATGAACTATAGGATTCTAAAACGTGCTCTTTATTGTACTAATAGATCTCACCACACATTCCTGATTTGTTTGTGTTTTTTGCTATTCTAATTTAGAAATGGTTTGTTTTGGGTGGCCATATAAATATTTTTTTTGTCAAATATAAACTATTATCAGTATAAACTATTATAAGTTTTCCCAGCATAAACTATTAATTTGTATAATAGTAATATTTTTTAACTACTTTAAAGTAGATGATTTAAATGATGATGATGATGTGCAGCACCTGTGCTGTAAGTTTTGTGGACATGCAAATAAATTCATAAATTCATAAATTCATAAATTCTACATGTGTACTGATGATGTCAAAATAGCTCTTTTTAGAGCCTATTGTACTTAATTTGATTTCTGGCATGATAACTTAATGTACATGGTAATGTACATGACAATGTTAATGTATTTGGTCTTGGCGGAATAGATCTGCTATGCTGCTGCTGCGGCAGAGCAAGTACTGAGACTTGCTACTGCCAATACATCCACAACATGCTGCTGTGAGCATGTAAGAAATACTGCTGCTGCACATATAACATACATGAAATAACCCCCATATAGCATACATGAATCACCCCGTAGCAGATCTATACAGGTGGAGCTGGGGAAGGTGGAGGGTTTCTGAAGCATGCTGCGAACCGCTACAACAAGCACTAGTCATATATTTGAATGTTGAGCAGCAAGCTCATTGGCTACCGATACAGGAGAGAACCAATCAGCTTTGCCATGTGATAATGATTTCATTAGGTCAGATTGAGTTAGACCTATCGGACTGCGCCATCTAGAGTTTCATGACAGAACTCTGTATACGTCACATTTATGGTGTACTTATAGTAAAGCTAAAATGAAAAAGCTTCAGGTGGCATTTAATGATAGATTAATAATTATGCTTAAGATCCCAAGGTGGATAAGTGCAAGCCAATTGTTTGTATCTAGTGATGTTCCTACTTTGCATGCTGTGCTAAGGAATTATACGTATAGTTTCATGTGTCGATTAAGTGATTCAAGAAATACAGTCATAATGGCCTTAAATTAAGGGACACAAGGTATTCCTCCCTGTTCTGGAAGCACTGGCATTCAAGTGTGTATGTTTCTAAGTAGTGCTTGTTGTATGTAAATGAATGTTTGTATGTAATTTTCTTCTTTTTCTTTTTTTCTTATTTTTATGATATGGACCTAAGGGTCTTTAATAAAGAAATAATAATAATAATATATTTTAAAATTTATTTATACAGTGATAAAAAAGAGATATCAAAAACCCATATGGTTGTTTTCGCAAAAAGAGATTTATCTCCACTTCAGCAGGACTTACATACACCAAAATGTACAGTTTTGTTCCTATCTATATTTTTTACATTTTATTCCTGAAAATATGGTTAAAATTAATAATTTTTCTGGCTGTTGACAGTATTGTCTGATTTACAGAATGATAAAAAGAGATATCCAAAATCCAAAACTCTGAACAAAATGAAACAAGACTTTTGAACCTGGCTTTATCCAGTGTTCATATTGCAGTACATGTCAACGTCTCAAAGAATTAGCAGATTCAAATTAGCACATATTTAATCAGATAATGCCTCATTTACATATTTAAACATTACGTTTCAGAAAACTTGTAATACAAAACAATTGTCTTAATGTATTGATATTAATCAACTGGGGAAAGTATGGTGAAATGTATTAGTTAAAACTTTTTTTTACCCTATATAGCTGTAGTGTCTTACCCTAAAATGTCTTATTACAAGTCAAAAGCAAAGAATATATATTTATAATATAATCTGAGCTGAGCAACCTTTTATGCAAATAGAAATGCAAATGCTTTCTCTATTATAGAGCTTCATAGTGCACCATACTGCGAAAACAAGTAGTATGGTAGTATGCTAGTTTCTCCCAACAGTATATTTACATTTTAGTCATTAGCAGACCTTTATTACTGTAAGCAATTTATCTCTGGAGCCAACAATATCTGCAGTGCACAATACCAAGCAATGACAGTAGCAGTTATAGCGCACTAAAAGGAGGAGTGTCATCCAGGAATCAGGATAACGTGATGATGTGCAACCGTGCTGTGGAGTCAGAAGTCTCTTGTGTAATTTGAGGTCAGATCTGTCCTGAAGTGTTGAGGTGGCAGTTTTCTGCAGGCAGATAATGTCACTGTCTGGACGTGGTCTGACCGATTATAAAATCACTGAGCAGCACAATCCATTCTCCCAGTACACAATGGTTTCGTCTTCATCCTCCGTATACAGTATTTCTGCTGTGCTGTACGCTTCCTGATTAATATACTGTGACCTTTATGAGCATGGAAACCAATCAGAACATCTTAGCAACTGCAAAGCAACACCCTGGAAATGCCCTCACGCTTTGGTTGTTACTTTTGCATTGGCAAACACCACTTTGATAAATAAACTGATATTTTCATTTCAGTCTACAAGAAATAGTTAAACTCTAAAAAAAAAAAAAATGCTGGGTTTAAAACAACCCATCGCAGGGGGAAATATGGACAGAAACCCAACCTTCTGGTCAGTTTTATTTAAATCAACTATTGCTTAAAAATGACTATATTTCTTGCTTAAAATGAACCCCAAATAGGTTTGAAATTGACATGTATTAATATGATCATTAAATGAACATTTAGTAAGAAGTTGAATAAATAATAATTAAACATTTTTTATATAGCTTATTAATGAATGTACACCTTTTGATTATTGCTGATACCTCTAATCAAGTCAAGTCAAGTCACCTTTATTTATACAGCGCTTTATACAATACAGCTTTACAGTGTCGAACAAGAAAAAATGTGAGCTGATAATGCAAAAGTCAATAGAAAACAGTCAGTACATTGCAATATACGTTATTTTACTGTAATATATTATTTTGATATTGCATGCAAGCAATATGCATTATTTTGATATTGTATGCATGCAAAATGCATTATTATTTGAATGTTGTATGCATGCAATATACGTTATCATTTTTATGATGTATGCATGCAATATGCATTGTTATTTTAATGTTGTACATATGCAATATACATTATTATTTGACTGTTGTGTGCATGCAATATACATGATTATTTTAATGATGTATGCATGCAATATGCATTATTATTTTAATGATGTTTCCATGCAATATGCATTGCTATTTTGATATTATATGCATGCAATATCTGTTATTATTTTAATGATATATGCATGCAATACACATTATTATTTGAATGTTATATGCATGCAAAAGGCACACACAAACAGCTAACATTATGTATGTTTTTCTCTCTCAGATGATATTATTTTCCTCCTGCTGCATTTGTGGGTTAATTGGTGGAATCCTGAACTTCCAGTTTGTCCGAGCGCTGGTCAAGCGTCCAGACGCCATGCGCTCTCTTCATTTGGCTGTCATGTCTCTAGCATGTCTGGGCATCAGCAGCTGCACGCTGTCCACATGGCTGACCTGCAGACTGGCCAGCAGCGAACAGCAGCGCATGTTTCTGGAGAGAGAACATTCACTGCATCACTCGCACGAAATGGCAGAGAAGGTACGCAAGGAGCTGGTATATTTGTGCGGTCTGTGTGTGCCGGTGCATCTCACACACTTACAGTCAACATTACATTAAAACTGACTCAGCTTACGTTCTTATTATATGTTCCTGGTCTTATTGCGAATGATTCGGCACACATTATCACAAAGAAAAAAACTGACTTCATAAACTTTCGTCAGAATTTAATAATTAGCTCAATGTCTGAAACAACTTTCCTTTTCCTGCAGTGAATGGGTGCCGTCAGAATGAGAGTCCAAACAGCTGATAGAAACATCACAATAATCCACACCCCTCCAGTCCATCAGTTAATGTCTTGAGAAGACAAAAGCTGCGTGTTTGTAAGAAACAAATCCATCAAGACGTTTTTAACTTCAAACTGTTGCTTCCGGCTAAAAGACGAGACCATAATCCATAATAATGTGTGAAAACGTCCATCCCTGTTGTTCTCTCACATCAAAATCCACCCACATATTTGTCTAGAACTGTTAATGGACTGTTTTGGCTTGTAAACGGTGCTTGATCTGTGCAGATTTCTCTCCTGATTCTGACCAGACGACTTTTTCATGGGAGGAAGCGCTAATATGGATTATGTATTTTAGATGGAAGCAATGGTTTGAAGTTAAAAATGTCTTAATGATGGATTTGTTTCTTACAAACACGCAGCTTTTGGCTTCTCAAGACATTAACTGATGGTAAGAAACAAATCCATCATTAAGACGTTTTTAACTTCAAACTGTTGCTTCCGGCTAAAAGACGAGACCATAATCCATAATAATGTGTGAAAACTTCCATCCCTGTTGTTCTCTCACATCAAAATCCACCCACATATTAGATGGAAGCAATGGTCTAGAACTGTTAATGGACTGTTTTGGCTTGTAAACGGTGCTTGATCTGTGCAGATTTCTCTCCTGATTCTGACCAGACGACTTTTTCATGGGAGGAAGCGCTAATATGGATTATGTATTTTAGATGGAAGCAATGGTTTGAAGTTAAAAATGTCTTAATGATGGATTTGTTTCTTACAAACACGCAGCTTTTGGCTTCTCAAGACATTAACTGATGGACTGGAGTGGTGTGGATTACTTGTGGATTACTGTGATGTTTTTATCAGCTGTTTGGACTCTCATTCTGACGGCACCCATTCACTGCAGAGCATCCATTGCTGAGACACTGATGCAATGCTACACTTCTCCAAATCTGATGAAGAAACAAACTCATCTACATCTTACTCATACAGTAGCTAAGAATGGAAGTTGTCTCTCTCTCTGTCTGTCCGTTTGAATGTTCATCTCGTAGCGAAACTCGGCCGTGTGTTTGTCTGCTTGCAGGAGGTTTTGGATAACACCAGCAATTGCATCTCTCAAATCTCCTACAATGGACGGAGCGCTTCGCCGTGACAGCTCGCTGCCCACATGCTCTTAACAGCACAGTTCTTCCACCTGATTGGCTGAGTCAGGTTGACAGTTCTTCCACCTGATTGGCTGAGTCAGGCTGACAGTTCTTCACTCTGATTGGCTGGGTCGAGCTGACAGTAGAAGCACAGACGGCATTCACCGGACATAATGTAGACAGAGCGTCAGATAACAGTATTGAGCAGACAGACAGCCAATCAGTGTCCAGTTACCTGATGAGCTCAGGAGAGGTCAGAGCTGATGACCTGGACGACCAGCATACAGAAAACAGACATTTGAGTACGAAATAAGCATGCAAACGATCTTCTCTCTCTTTCTATATCTCTTTCTCTCTCCCCGTATCTAGATAAAGGGAATGTAATTCTGATATTGTATGGTATACTGAATGCTTTTATCCTGATCGTATAAATGCACACTGTAAAATGCCTGTAAAGATATTTATTCATTTACAGTATTTTTATATAGAGGCTTCACATGAAAATGAAATAAAGATATCAATGTAATTTGTGGCATTATGGCAGATGATTAAACCGTTAACACACAAAAACACCTTTACTTTACACATCATAGATTTGTATGTTTTAATATACATATATTGTAGACTAACTCTACTAAGTGCTACATTTTCTTAATTTCAATTGATGTAAATTTCATTTTCATGCATTTTTCATTTATTCCAGTTTTAAATTAACAGTTTTCTTTCATGTGAATTTCATATTTAATTGAAGTCTTTTTCAGTTTCATTTCTATTTCATATTTTTATATAGAGGCTTCACATGAAAATGAAATAAAGATATCAATGTAATTTGTGGCATTTTGGCAGATGATTAAACCGTTAACACACAAAAACACCTTTACTTTACACATCATAGATTTGTATGTTTTAATATACATATATTGTAGACTAACTCTACTAAGTGCTACATTTTCTTAATTTCAATTGATGTAAATTTCATTTTCATGCATTTTTCATTTATTCCAGTTTTAAATTAAGTTTTCTTTCATGTGAATTTCATATTTAATTGAAGTCTTTTTCAGTTTCATTTCTATTTCCTTTTATTTTTAATATTGTTATCAAATTAAAATTTCAATCGCATCATATGACCCCTTTAATCAATTTTTAAATAAACAATGCTTCTTGTTTAATTTAATATTTAAGTCCTTATCAGTTTTTATTATTTTATTTTTTATATTTTTCATTAATTATAATTTATATTTAAGTATAATTTTATTTTATTTTATTTTTCATGTGCAGTTCTCCTCCTCTCCGCTAGTGGTCGCCCGTCACTCCGCACATCTCGCATGCGAACACGCGAGCGAACGCACCACGTGCTCCTCCGCATGTGTACGGCATGGCGAACTGGACGCAGGAGGACGGAGCTGCGAAACCCGTCGCAAGCCCCGCAGACGTGTCGACGGCAGCGCAGATATCCAGTGGAAATGTCGCGGCGGTTCCGTGTCTCATCCCGTCGTTCGCGGACGCGGTGAAGCTGCTGAACGCGCGGTACTCGTGTCTGGTGCTGGACTCGCACCGCAGGCACATCTCACTGTCGCCCGAACACCTGCGGAAGAAACGCACGGGCATCCGGGAGGAGCTCGCCGCTGAGCTGCTCAAGTACTCCAGCAGGTAAACCCACAGGCTGCAAAGGAAATACCATGGTGAATGATGGTAACGCCGAGGTATTTTCACACAAACAGTATGGTTCTGTAACGTTTGCACATTATTATTAGGCTTCAAGGACTTGCCTTTCAATATTTTGAGACCAGGATACCTTTAAAAAAACACTATAGTACCTTTTGTAATGTGTGTCAGTGCTGTTGAATAGAAGCCAGTCACAGCTGATACAGAAGCATGGAATATGCCTTTGTAAGGTTGTAGTCAACTTATAAAAACAGAATACATCTAGTGCACTAGTTTGAGTATGACTTGCATGTAGTTTATGTGTAGAAATAAGCAATGTATAACAGCCAGATTACAAAACCAGTTAACAATTCTCCATCTTTTCAAAGATTTCTCTCTTCTATTCTGTTCTATATTTGTGAACTCAGTGTCCCAAATTAGGTAATAATAGTACTTTTTTTACTCTAGAGAGGAGAATTTAGCTAAATATATGCTCTATATCACACACACACACACACACACACACACACATATATATATATGTGTGTGTGTAATATAGTGCATATATTTAGTCAAATTATCCGTAAACTGAAGTGCTCTTTTAACTTAACCAAACGCATTCTATATGAGATAAATCAGATATACATCAAATAAACACAATATTACAATGTACAATTGCACAAAAGGCTGCAAACGAACAGCGCGCATCTGAAGTGTCTCTGAAGGAAATAATGCATTATTTATCGGCTTTAAGATATCGGCCAAATTTTCTTATCAGGCCGATACCGATAACAGAAAAAATGAGCCGATATGGGCCGATACCGATATGGTGGCCGATATATCGTGCATCCCTAATATATAGTTAAATTCATAATTACATCTATGGATATGGATATCTCTTATTTACACAGTTCTATATAGAGTACAAATGCACAAATCTGTACATAAATCTACTGTTCCAGATTCATACACATTATTTTTTGTGAAGTCTTACTATTTAAATGTGTTTTTCTGTTCTCATGTCAGATGTGTGTATGTACCAGATGCACCTGATAAAAAAAAAAACACAACAAATTCCTAGTGTGTTTGCGCACACCTGGCGAATAAAGCTGATTCTGATCATTAAAAGTTGATATATTTCATACTTAAATTGTTGTATGTGCAGTTACTTTAGATGCTTGTATACAGCTTGATGATTTATTTATTGTTAAAAATCTTGCAGATCAGCATTTTCCCCCCCAAGTTTCAGGGCTGTGTTATTTGGAAAATATTTATTTTCTATTACGTTAGATTATAACTTCTATATTTATGTATTTTAATCACATTTTTATTCACTAATTTGATAGATTTAAGTTATTGTGATTTAAATCGTTCATCTTTGTCCTGTGGATTTGCAGTCTGAAAGGTGTTCCTGTGGCGTATGACGACATTAAAGTCGTGGGACAGCATGGAGATATTTATGACGATCAAGGATTCATTCACCTCAACATCGAGGCGTCGTTCGTGGTCTTCAAACCAAAGAAAGGGTCGAAGCTCGTGGTACGTCACAAGATCTTCATGAGCTAGAGGTCATGTTCTGTGCCTGATTATGAGTGAGGTCGTATATATGCGCTTATTCTTGTCTTGTGTGTCGCTCAGGGTGTGATTAATAAAATGGGAGTGGGTCACGTGGGCTGTCTGGTTCACGGCTGCTTTAACGCGTCGGTGGTGAAGCCCAGTCTGCTGAGCTCAGAGCAGTGGAGGGACTGTGGACTGTGTGTCGGACAAAGCCTGGAGTTTGAGGTCTTCCAGCTGGACGCCGATGCTGCAGGTGTTCTGCTCATCAGGGGACGGCTGGAGAAGTGCAGGTACGGTCAATGCTTTCTTTTTGCTGGATACTATATTAAAGGTATAGTTCACCCAAAATGAGAATTTGCTGAATGTGTTCCCCCTCAGATCATCCGAGATGTAGATGAGTTTGTTTCTTCGTCAGATTTGGAGAAGTGTAGCATTGCATCAGTGTCTCAGCAACGGATGCTCTGCAGTGAATGGGTGCCGTCAGAATGAGAGTCCAAACAGTTGATAAAAACATCACAATAATCCACTCCACTCCAAACAAATCCATTATTAAGATGTTTTTAACTTCAAACTGTTACTTCCGGCTAAAATACGAGTCCATAATCTATAATAACGCTTCCTCCAGTGAAAAAGTGGTCTGGTCTGAATCAGGAGAGAAATCTGCACAGATCAAGCACCGTGAAAACAGTCCAAAACAGCTCGAAACAAATATGTGGGAGACAACAGGAGATGGACTTTTTCACTGGAGTAAACGTTATTTTGGATTATGGACTCATATTTTAGTTAAAAACCTCATAATGATTTATTTGTTTCTTAAAAACACACAGTTTTTAGTTTCTCAAGACAGTAACTGATGTTACTGGAGTGCTGTGGATTATTGTGATGTTTTTATCAGCTGTTTGGAGAAGCACTAATTGAACTCCACTGTTTTGGTCAATAATTTTGGCTCTCCAAAACCAATTCGGCTGAAAATTAAAATGCATTTTTTGACAGTAATGACAGTGCATCACTATGTTAAATATCAGTCAGGTGATCCTAATCTTAAGTGTCCAGTTCTTTCACAGAATAATACATTGTGGACATTTCGTTAAATCAGTCATTTTAATTTCATTTACTAATAATTAGGCGTGGGAAAAAAATCGATTCACTTAACTATCTATATATATTTTAGTGCCGGGCAACGTTTAAATGTGATTAATCACATCCAAAATAAAACTTTTTGTTTACGTAGTATATATGTGTGTACTGTGTATATTTATCATGTGTATGAATATATATATATATATATAAATACACATTATATATTTTGAAAATATTTACGTGTGTATATATACATATAAATATATTTAATATGTAAACAATATATTTTTCTGAAATATATACATGCACGTGTGTGTGGATTTATATAAACATAATAAATATTCACAGTACACACACACATACTATGTAAACAAAATTTTTAAAATCTTTTATTTTGGATGCAATTAATCGTTGCCCAGCACTATATTTTTATTATTTTGAAATTGATTCTTTTATTCCAGAATCGATAATAATTCATATTAAATTGTTTAATTTTAGTCCTTGTTTATAAAGAATAATTGACTGAATCAGTGGCATTTAAATTTCACTCTGGTGATGCATTGACTTTATATTATTAAAGAAAAGTTCATGTAAAAACTGCCTTGTGTGCAATTTAAATGAGACATCACAAAGAGAAGAAGAAGAAGAAAGACAAACGGCAGGAGGCGGATGAGATCTCGCCCTCTGAGCTCTCGACGAGCGACTCCAGCGGATACGTGAGCGAGAAAACCAGCAGAACGAGAGCAGCCGAGAGCGACCACGGCCTGCAGGACGCACCGGCCGCCAAAAAAAAGAAAAAGAGCAAGTGATTACGCTCACAGACTGTTTCATGAACTATAAACGAAGAGCCCAACGTGACTGAGATACTTTATGTGTGATTTATATTTACAGAATATAATAATAATAATAAATGTTTTTTTCCTCTGGGGTATTTGCACATTTGTATTTTTCCACCTGTAGAGGGCAGCATGCATTTCCCAAATTTTCCCAAATTCTCCTCATTAAACTGTTATCTAATTAAATTAAAATGGGGGAAATCCCTCATTTAGATGTTTTATGATTATGGTCAAATTAAAGATATTATAAAAAGGTGGCAACAGCAATATGATGAGACATTTATAGCTAAATATTTTAGTTCAAACTGTCCCATCACTGTTTATTAATCAGATTTTAAACAGTTGCATTAATTACAGTCAGTCTCAACGCTAAAGATGACAAATAAAAACAAAACTGGTAACTTAATGTTTCAATATGACAGTGGAGGTTTTCCCTTACATTTAATGTTATAAATATCAAATTCATATTTTTACATGGTTATTTTCTTTTTGCTGTTTTTGAAAATATTTATCCTTTACTTTCAATGCAGTTTTATTTTTGTGTCTGAATCTATTATTAATAATTCACATTAATTTTGATATTTTTCCAAGGAGGCTAATGTCTAAAATATGAAGATGGTATTGCACCTGCGATCATAATGAATAAAAGTATTTGAAATGTATATTTAATGCAAATTGTAAACTAAAATTATATATATATATATTCGTTATATATTATTATAAATTATACTATTTAAAATGTAACTGTTATAATCGAATTGCAATTTAATTATATTTTTCATTAGCATGTTTATGGAAGGTACATTGACTTATTCTAATTAAAATGCCTGAAAAGTGTTTTTTTTAAATATGTAATTAAGTTTTTTTTAATAGTTAATAATTTAAAAACCTAATCAAGCCGTCAAAGCGAGTGTACTACTTAAAACCAATGTTCATGAATAACAAATAATGTCAAACCTGAATTTTAATATCATATTAAGTTAAGTGTTTTATGCAAAACAAATAGTTGATTTTTTTTGTGTAATCATATATTGATTATAGATAAGTTTTATTTACACAAATATAGATTTGTTGAAGTTGCTGCACGTGTGTGTCATTTAAAAATCTTTTTTTTTTTTTTTCATTTCAAATGTTTCGCTTTCATATATTTTGCTATATACTGTTTGTTTTTTCTTTCAGTGTATTCTGCTTGGATTTATTGTGGGTGTTTCACAATGATAATGCCTGTTATTTGAACACGTTTAAAAAAACATACATGAAGACATTTTGTTGTCATGTGACAAAGCAGCAAACAGGAAATTACATCACAAACACCTACAGACCCTCAAGGCAGTGTGTGAAGGTAAGCAAGTCTCTTAAAATTAACAAATTGGTTAGTACTTTATGACATGAAAACACTAGTTGAAAACAACTAGAAGACTTAAAAAAAAAAATATATATATATATAAGTACTTTTGAAACTATATATTTAAAATAACCATCAAGATGTGTAAACTCAGGTTTATTTCTAATGCAAAGAAAAGAATGCCTTTTTTTTTACTTGTTTGCACAGCTCGATATTTCCATGAAGAGCTACTAAATCAAAACACTTCCTGAAAATGGTGCAAAGGTTTTTCCAAACCACATGAAAACAAAGATTTTCATTTTTATGCATATTTGTGGATGTTTCGTATTCTCAGACATTCTTGCATGTCATCGAACCTTTGACCTGTTTTTATTCTCAGGTGTTGCTGAATAGCCAAAGCACGTCTGCTCGGGATGCCTGCGTCCCACTCGATTCCTGGAACATCTGGACTGCTGGGAATCCATCCTGCAAACCTCAAGGTGTGAGTGGGAAAGCGCTCCTCCTGTGTGAGTAACTGTGTGTTGTGGGAAAACTGCATGAGCATCTTTACAGTAAATCACAGAGCTTTGCTGAAGAGCGGCCCTCGAGTCCGGCGGCACGGCAGGGTGTGAGGGAAACGTCTCAACCTGGACTCGTTTCAGCTTTAAGTCAGCTGGGATTATGGTCAGACTGATACATTTTGCTTTTCTTTTGCCCCTTTTGTTCAGCTAGACAAAGTGAGTCTCTTTGACGGCTCGAGGGGAGCTTGGCTCTGTCATCCTGAAGGATCCCGGGAGCTCTGTGGGAGGTTTTCGATCGGGTCAGATCGTCGCCAGACGGGCTCATAGTTTGAATTGTTCTCACTTAGTTTTTCCATCACTGGGAGTGCTGTGATTCGGGGTGGGGGTGAGAATGTGACATTTTGTCGTTTTTATTGGGCTTCACTTCTGATAAGTGGCCCTTGCATTCATGAGGTGAATTATGGCTTTTTGAGGTTATATGGGGTGTGAGACAAACGAAAGCTCTGAAATTCAGGGTCTCTGAAAGCAAACGTCACTCTTTACATCGACCCAAAAACAGTGTGCAAATTATACAGTGGTTCATGGCCAATTTTGTCCGGACCTGTTTGTCCAAGCAATGGAAAACGGGGTGTGTCATCATTTTTCCAATTTAGATTGCCATAGAAATCACCTTAAGTTTTGCTAGCGCAGCTCTGGTGACAAAAAGTAAGGCAAAAGTAACATAATGCATTACTTTCCATAAAGAGTAACTAACACGATTAGTTACTTTTTTATAGACTTACGCAAATCAGATATACATCAAATAAACACAATATTACAACGTACAATTGCACAAAAGGCTGCAAACAAACAGCGCGCATCTGAAGTGTCTCTGAAGGAAATAATGCATTATTTATCGGCTTTAAGATATCGGCCAAATTTTCTTATCAGGCCGATACCGATAACAGAAAAAAATAGCATTTATCGGCCGATACCGATATGGTGGCCGATATATCGTGCATCCCTAGTTATATGCACAACTCCGTTTTATTTGGATGTTGATTATTAAGTAATTGATTAAAGTTTAATTTGGTTTTGGTTTTCCAGCAAAAAGAAAAGTTTACTTTCAGTTTCTGTGTGTCCATAAAAAATGTATTTCTTATTTAATTTTACTGCTTGCTTATGGCAGGAACAGACATTTTCAGAAAGTTTTAAAAAATGTTTTACTTTACCACTTTTTTATATTAAGTCCAGGGTTTTGAATTGACCATTTTGTAGTCGATTACTGTTTGCTGCTTCTGAAATAAAGCTCCAAATGATGTGATGAATTGTTTTTGTAAAAATGACTCATCTTCTATGTCATGTAAAGCTTGTATGTAGTGTTAGAAAAGCAAACAAAAATTGCTACACATTGCAATGCTTGTAGAATCGCAATTCTTAGTATTGATTTGGGAGATAAGTGTATCCTTACTAATGATCATTTATTGATTTTCAGAGTGCAAGAGCTCGTGGCCCAAGCCGAACAAAAGGAAACGATTGTAGAATCCGCTACAGAACCAGAATCCACAGAAGACACGATCGACAGTCCAAAACCCAAGAAGAAGAAGAAGAAAGACAAGCGTGAGAAAGAGTCTCTGAACGACAGCAGCCTGGAGCAAACGTCAGAAAACCAGCAAACCGCTGCCAACACAACCGAGATAGACCCCAGTGCAAACAGACATCACAAAGAGAAGAAGAAGAAGAAAGACAAACGGCAGGAGGCGGATGAGATCTCGCCCTCTGAGCTCTCGACGAGCGACTCCAGCGGATACGTGAGCGAGAAAACCAGCAGAACGAGAGCGGCCGAGAGCGACCACGGCCTGCAGGACGCACCGGCCGCCAAAAAGAAGAAAAAGAGCAAGTGATTACGCCCACAGACTGTTTCATGAACTATAAACGAAGAGCCCAACGTGACTGAGATACTTTATGTGTGATTTATATTTACAGAATATAATAATAATAATAAATGTTTTTTTCCTCTGGGGTATTTGCACATTTGTATTTTTCCACCTGTAGAGGGCAGCATGCATTTCCCAAATTTTCCCAAATTCTCCTCATTAAACTGTTATCTAATTAAATTAAAATGGGGGAAATCCCTCATTTAGATGTTTTATGATTATGGTCAAATTAAAGATATTATAAAAAGGTGGCAACAGCAATATGATGAGACATTTATAGCTAAATATTTTAGTTCAAACTGTCCCATCACTGTTTATTAATCAGATTTTAAACAGTTGCATTAATTACAGTCAGTCTCAACGCTAAAGATGACAAATAAAAACAAAACTGGTAACTTAATGTTTCAATATGACAGTGGAGGTTTTCCCTTACATTTAATGTTATAAATATCAAATTCATATTTTTACATGGTTATTTTCTTTTTGCTGTTTTTGAAAATATTTATCCTTTACTTTCAATGCAGTTTTATTTTTGTGTCTGAATCTATTATTAATAATTCACATTAATTTTGATATTTTTCCAAGGAGGCTAATGTCTAAAATATGAAGATGGTATTGCACCTGCGATCATAATGAATAAAAGTATTTGAAATGTATATTTAATGCAAATTGTAAACTAAAATTATATATATATATATTCGTTATATATTATTATAAATTATACTATTTAAAATGTAACTGTTATAATCGAATTGCAATTTAATTATATTTTTCATTAGCATGTTTATGGAAGGTACTTTGACTTATTCTAATTAAAATGCCTGAAAAGTGTTTTTTTTTTAAATATGTAATTAAGTTTTTTTTAATAGTTAATAATTTAAAAACCTAATCAAGCCGTCAAAGCGAGTGTACTACTTAAAACCAATGTTCATGAATAACAAATAATGTAAAACCTGAATTTTAATATATTAAGTTAAGTGTTTTATGCAAAACAAATAGTTGATTTTTTTTGTGTAATCATATATTGATTATAGATAAGTTTTATTTACACAAATATAGATTTGTTGAAGTTGCTGCACGTGTGTGTCATTTAAAAATCTTTTTTTTTTTATTGGATTTCAACTGAAAAAGAGGAGTGGCTTAAAACTATATATTACTTGCAATATATACGAAATAAGTTTTCATTTCAAATGTTTCGCTTTCATATATTTTGCTATATACTGTTTGTTTTTTCTTTCAGTGTATTCTGCTTGGATTTATTGTGGGTGTTTCACAATGATAATGCCTGTTTGAACACGTTTAAAAAAACATACATGAAGACATTTTGTTGTCATGTGACAAAGCAGCAAACAGGAAATGACATCACAAACACCTACAGACCCTCAAGGCAGTGTGTGAAGGTAAGCAAGTCTCTTAAAATTAACAAATTGGTTAGTACTTTATGACATGAAAACACTAGTTGAAAACAACTAGAAGACTTAAAAAAAAAAAAATATATATAAGTACTTTTGAAACTATATATTTAAAATAACCATCAAGATGTGTAAACTCAGGTTTATTTCTGATGCAAAGAAAAAAATGCATTTTTTTTTACTTGTTTGCACAGCTCGATATTTCCATGAAGAGCTACTAAATCAAAACACTTCCTGAAAATGGTGCAAAGGTTTTTCCAAACCACATGAAAACAAAGATTTTCATTTTTATGCATATTTGTGGATGTTTCGTATTCTCAGACATTCTTGCATGTCATCGAACCTTTGACCTGTTTTTATTCTCAGGTGTTGCTGAATAGCCAAAGCACGTCTGCTCGGGATGCCTGCGTCCCACTCGATTCCTGGAACATCTGGACTGCTGGGAATCCATCCTGCAAACCTCAAGGTGTGAGTGGGAAAGCGCTCCTCCTGTGTGAGTAACTGTGTGTTGTGGGAAAACTGCATGAGCATCTTTACAGTAAATCACAGAGCTTTGCTGAAGAGCGGCCCTCGAGTCCGGCGGCACGGCAGGGTGTGAGGGAAACGTCTCAACCTGGACTCGTTTCAGCTTTAAGTCAGCTGGGATTATGGTCAGACTGATACATTTTGCTTTTCTTTTGCCCCTTTTGTTCAGCTAGACAAAGTGAGTCTCTTTGACGGCTCGAGGGGAGCTTGGCTCTGTCATCCTGAAGGATCCCGGGAGCTCTGTGGGAGGTTTTCGATCGGGTCAGATCGTCGCCAGACGGGCTCATAGTTTGAATTGTTCTCACTTAGTTTTTCCATCACTGGGAGTGCTGTGATTCGGGGTGGGGGTGAGAATGTGACATTTTGTCGTTTTTATTGGGCTTCACTTCTGATAAGTGGCCCTTGCATTCATGAGGTGAATTATGGCTTTTTGAGGTTATATGGGGTGTGAGACAAACGAAAGCTCTGAAATTCAGGGTCTCTGAAAGCAAACGTCACTCTTTACATCGACCCAAAAACAGTGTGCAAATTATACAGTGGTTCATGGCCAATTTTGTCCGGACCTGTTTGTCCAAGCAATGGAAAACGGGGTGTGTCATCATTTTTCCAATTTAGATTGCCATAGAAATCACCTTAAGTTTTGCTAGCGCAGCTCTGGTGACAAAAAGTAAGGCAAAAGTAACATAATGCATTACTTTCCATAAAGAGTAACTAACACGATTAGTTACTTTTTTATAGACTTACGCAATATTGCAATGCATTAAGTTGTATTTCAGTCTTTCTACTTCAAAATGTAATGCTTAATTCAGTGTGTTACTTGCCTTTTCTTTGTAATTGTAAAATTCTGTTTCTGAGTGGAATTTGTTTTTGCACCAATTTTTTTTCAGTGTAACGTATGTGGTTACAGAAACATTTGATAATGCTGTTACAATGTTTTTAGCTGTTTGTTTGACCAATGGAAGACTGAGGGCATGTCATCATTTTTCCAAATTTCATTTGGCATAGAAATTAAAACACCTTTAAGTTTTGTTTTTGTACATCTGATACCAGTCATGATATTATGGTGACCTCCTTACTAACTTTTGTGCTTAATGAAATGTTTGAGATCAGTGTTGCAATGTTTTTATCTTTTTGGCTGACCAATGGTAGACATAGGGTGTGTCATTTTTCTGATTCAGTTTACCATAGAAATTATCTTTTAGTTTTGACATTGTACAATCTGATACTGATCATGATATTATGGTAACCTGCCGAGTAAGAACTTTTGGGATATCACATAATGGGAATTTTTCAATTCTAAAAATGCGCCGTAAAAAAAAACGTATGCGCTCAATTGAGTTGGATAATTTTTTTTATCTGATAAGAAAACATGCACATAAACTATGATGGAAACACATTTACCTCATGAAATATTTCATAATGTTATTGAAACGTTTTGAGTTATACTGTATATAGTATTTAAACTGTTTAATTTGTGTACAGACACCCCACAGACCCCTTGATTGACAAAATTACTCATAAATTCTATGACAGTCTTTTAAATATCCTTTACAGAGAATACAATCCCATAATGCACTGCAACAAGGCAAATAAAAATATCCATCAGGTGGAGGAAGCAGGAGAAAATATATTTATAATTACACAAAAAAACTATTTGTGCACAGTGTATTTCTATGGTTAGAGTATCACGTTGTTGAACTCTCTTGAAATCATTTCTTGTGCATTTCATGTTAGTAGTGCTATTTGTATTTTCAATCATAAGAACATTTTTATTAGCTATGATACTGTTTTTTAAATCAAATCTTTACATAGCTTTGACAGTAAACACTGGAATCTATGCCTTGGGGAAAAAAAGAATGAAATGAAGCATAGCTATAAGTAAACCCATATAGGAAATAAAAGAGTTATCGAATAAGCATGTTCTAAACTCCTGAAACATTGGTGTTTCAGATTTTAGAGCAGTCGCTGCAATTTATGAAAGAAATCAATTAAATCTGGGAGTGGGAGTGAGTGTGAAAAAAAGCAGATAACCCTCTTTGTAATCCTTAACATTTTCATAAATAACTGTAATTTAATTACACATTTTTTCTCAGTAACTATAACTGATTACTTTTATTTTGTAATTAAATTACGTAATTCCGTTACATGTAACTAGTTACTCCCCAACACTGCACATAAGTTGTTGCCTATGTAGGGCGTTCCAAACATCTTGGGTCCACTTGTTAGGGCTCCGTTTAAGTTAGAATGTTGCCTTCTATTGAAATAAGTTTCCCTATGTAGACCGTAGACAGCAAGGCAGCTCGTTAGTTTTTGGAACGGAGCCAAAAGCTATGTTTATTTTTACAGTGATTGCATTCGCGCCATAAATAAACCCACAGACTCTTTCTGAGGTGCTGCCAAAATGTACATGACATGGATTGCCTGGGCCCGGGTTACTTTTGAGGTCTGTTACAAATATGACATACAAAAATACATAGGCTCTGCTCATATGTATGCACGATTAATCCCACCGGTCACAATAGTGACCGTAAAGAAGGTTTTCATTTATAAAGCTCTAAAAATGTTACTGACTGGTGTTTTAGTGCATTTCCTGCAAATATGGAAAAAAAATAAAGGGTCTCAATTGAATATGTGCAGTCAGTGTCACATGGTTAGTGTAAACTGTCGCATGACTGCTGCATCAAAGTAGTGCTGCTGGGTGGTATGACCAAAAATTTATATCACGGTATTTTTCAAAATTATACCGGTTTCACGGTACATGACGGTATTTTTTTTTTTCATGCATGACCGGGTGTTAAGCATATTTTCTACTGATTGAGAGAGGAAATACTGCAGTATATTGACTTAGAATGCCCTATTTTACTGTCATGATGAGTGAATAGTGTCAAAAAATACCACACTAAATAGTGACCTTCTAAAACATGTTAATCAGGAGTCACTCTCATTTATAATCACGGCATCGTCTGATAAAATCAACATGCATCTACACTAAAGAGCGGCTATGCAGTTGTTTTGGCTATATTACTTTTCTGTCTCATGCAGCGCACTGCCTGCGTCTGAGTAACAAACTAAAAAAACAACAAACAAAAAGTGCATGTGCTATTAACAGACGAATT